TTAGTTTATGCACAGCTAATGTAGACCCAGCACAAGTTCAGTTATCAGCTTTCCTCCATTTCTCATTATTATCACCTGCTCCAAAAAGCATCTGCCAACATACTGATAAACACACAGTTGCTAACTTCAGTGTCACAAGAGTAGAAAATAGGATTTTAGCTCAGACTTTCTCTAGTGTAGTGTTTGGATTATTTTTAGCAGTGCCATAATACCTTTTCCAATTGCCCATATTTTTTCACATACATTTTACACTAGTGGTCATCTTTCCAGGAGACACCAATGAAACCATGGCGTGCTGCCTATGAATAACCTAACTGAAAGAGACTCTAAACCTATTTTTGGTTGTTAGTAGCTCACTATATTTGGTGGATCTCGATCTTTTATATAGCATCTGATAGGTCATGATAAAATTATTGTATTTCTGTTACGTTCTTGTGGCTCAACTTTTTTACTTTTTTTACTGAGGTTTCTAAAACACTCAGTTGGAGCTGGTTTCAGGAAATCCATTTTAAGCTTTAGCAAGGGCTTGTGTTTCCTCAACCGTTGCACATGGGTAAGGTCTTGTCAGACTTCACTTTCTGCTAAATGCTTGTGTGAATAGTTCTCTCTCTCTCTCTCTCTCTCCCCCTCCCCACTTTGGAGATGCCCAATGATTAGTAATTTCTAGGAATAAGTGTACATGACATAGCAGTAGTAGCAGAATTTGAAGACCAAATGCATATCTCTCTGGTAATACTTTTTTATTACCAGAAGGAGGGTTTATTGCAGTCATGCTATTTTCTGCACAGAAAACCGTTTTGAAAAATTGTGTCTTTAAAGATCCTCTGTCTAAATCACTGGATTTATGTCTTGCTTCTGATACTAGTTATGGAAAAGCTTAGAGCTGTCCACCAAACCACAGCTATTCTTTCTGGAACATTTGGGAGCTCCTGCTTAACTATGTGCTCGGGATATTGGGGGCTCAATACTTGGATGGTCTTTTTTATCATCTATGGTTTTTGTGGGTTCTATAGATGTAATTACACGGAACTGCTTGGTGTCTGCCGATAGATTAATAATGATCCCAGTGGTGGTTTAGCTTGATAGTGTATCCACCATACATGGACATTTACACAAGGACAGCTTATAGTACCATAAACAATGTATAGCACTATAAACTTTAATTATTTATAGTTCATCTAGACTGTTTTGTAAAATAGTTCAATCAGTTTCTAAACAGAAAACTATTCCTACTCAAAATCTCCAGAAACCTGAATTATTTACAGCCTGTGGAGACAATGTTTATAAAAACAGTTGAAGCAGTTTCCAGTAGAAATATTTTTTTCCTTTCCAGTCTCACCAGTTGGGATTTAGAGAAACACCACATGCTGTTCACATAGGAAATTATTTCAAATTTCAGATAAACTCTTATCTTATTCTTTATTAAATATATAAATGAATATCCCAGAGTAGACCGACCTTTTACAATTTTTCTAGCTGTACCCCAGCAGAATATTTGCTCAGTATGATCCACTTGTTGCTGCCTTAAAAGGCCGTTTAGGGAAAAAAAAAGTCTGCCTCCAGACTATTGGTGAAATTCTGTCTCTTGCTCCAAGCTTATCTTGGCACAGGAGGAAAGGAAATGAAGAGGTACCATCAGGAAGCTGGTTATAGCTCCCTGAGTCTCAGGTTGCCCCAACTCAGATGTACAAAAGCATAGAACAGCTAGCTAGGGGCCCTAAAGAGGGAAGAGTTCTCCACCTGTGTCATTACCCCCTTCTCACTTCCCCTAACCATACTTCCTTAAGCTGGTGGGGAGAGGAGGCTGGCTTAGGAGCAGCTCTGCAAGCTTTACACATTTTGAGAATTCCCCTCAAACTGGGAGAATTTGTCTCTATGGATTTGTCTTGGAATGTGTGTAAAAGATTATTGTTTTGCATGATACTGTGTTAGAAATGTGTGTATGTCTTCATTTGATTTAAACTTACTTACTAATCTTACTTAGTTTTGTATAACGTTTGTTCAGTCTCTGTCTAGATAAAGTGGTTATCAGAACAACAAATGTATAACAGATTTTGGGGACATGGAAACAATACTTAGGAAGAGTCATCTTGTTTCTTGACCAATTTGGAAACAGGTGGAAGTAAGGAAATTGAACAGGAGAATAAATTCTGCAATTTAGACTCTTCTGTAAAAGGATAAACTGTTTGTTAAACCTTGATGAAGTAAATTTGATTGTGCATTTACTTCTTGCAATACTTTGAAGTCTGTTTTGAGGCAGAAGGATAGGTATAGAGAATGAATATGCAAATTAGGCAGCTATTTTAGCACAATTATTCTCACCATTTACTAGCTCATGACCCCATATTCCCAGTATCCATCTTAAATTTTGCTTGCGGAGGGGGGCAGGAGACGAGAGTAGCAGAAAAGACAAATACTACTTCCCTACTCATATTGGTTTGTCTTGGTTTTTGTGTTACAGTATCACAAGTATTCAACATAGTATTATTTTGTACATTTGTCTTGTGCTGTATTGTGATACATATATTGTGAGATTTTTTTATTATTATTTTTTTTTTCATAAAACATGCTCACTTCAACTTTTCTGGCTCCGTTTTTCCCCTCCTCTCACTTTACAGCATCTCTTTCCAGCCAGCCAGCCAAGTTTCTCACACTCCTATCTAGGGAGCTACCTGAGCATAAGGAAAAGGTGGCCTAAAAAGGAGCTACAACACTGGGTACTGGGCATGGGGAGGAGCTGAAAGGAGGTACCTCTCTAGGTGCTGAGTGAGCCCTGTTGGCTGAAGAGAAGTTCTGTGTGATGAAGTGGAGGTCAAATTCCCTGCATCAATGGAGAAGCTGGTGGGAGAGTAAAGGCTTGGGGAGTTAGTGTAGCAGCTCAGCACTGACAGGAAGAGAGCCAATTTTATCTTCTTTTTAAAGATTCATTCTGGTCATGACCCCACAACAACCCCTTCTTGACCCATCTTGAGCTTATGACTTATCCGTTGAGAAACAGGGATGTAGCAAAAATGACACCAATTAGCAGATACTAAGCACAGTTTTAAATATCCTGAACTTGCAGCTGAATGTTGTCAAGCAAACTAGCTAATCAGTCCTCTTCTCACAGAGGAGCTGTATGCGTTTGTTACAAAACACCTTTAGAAATGAATGAAGGAAAAAGCCTTATATAGGACAGTTGAATTACAGCAATAATCACACACAGAGGTCACGTTAGCTGAAATAACAAAGCAGCGTGCTGTGCACACTTTCAAATCTAATGTGCAATAATCAGTTTTCTAAATTGATTGTAATATGCAATAGTCATTTACCTTTATAATAACTTGCCGATCTGAAACTGTTCTCCAGAAAATCTAAAATCACACAAGGGTTTTAGGTTTTTTTAGTACAAACTTGGGTCTCAAATTGCACTCTCAACCCACGTTGTGGGGGAGGAGAAAATAGTAGAAGGCAAAGTAGTATTTACACTGCGCGCTCCCTGACAGAGGCAAGGTTTAAAGTGCGAGTCTACTTTGAAGAGTCACTTTGTAAAAAAGGGTGCCTTTTTACCCCACACATCTGTATTGCTTGACTTCAGTGACAAAATAAACTTTTGCTGCTCTTCACTCTGTTAGCCCTACAGAGGCAAGACAACTACAGGAGACTAAGGTGGAGTCTGTTCCTTTTTATTTATCATAAACCAAATTGTTTACTAGATTTCAATCAGTTCTACTTCCACTAACCAGTGAAGAGGTGCACAGGAATCAATGAGGAAATAATTTTGCCATCAGAACCTTTTGTCATTGGTGGTATGTGAAAAGTCCAGTCTGACTTTCAGATCTTGGAGTGAGTTTTCAGGGCCGGAAGTTAGAAAAAAATACCTTTTGTCACAGTTCAGGGCAACTGCATTTATATTCTCCCTCTGTGGTCCAGCAAGGGCACCCACACTAGGCTTCTGGGTCTCAAGAGATTTTGCCTAAGCAGGCCTGCTTGCTTTCTCTTCAGAGACTAATAACTGAGTAAGGTACCACACAGCACCTCCTGTGCAAGCCTATTTTATTCAGAAGGTAAGAAGCACTACAGAGAAAATATATTAAAAAACCGTAAGAGACTCTATGTGCATGCTAATAAGCATACCAGAGATCATCGCAACCCTAACATGGGCTCTGGCAGGAGCAATCCTTCAGAACCCCCATCCCAAAGGGTTTTTTTGTGGTTCTAAGTTCATCAGAGCTTCAGCTCAGAACAAGCACAAAGTTTAATCCATCCTTTATACCGTCTAGGGATCTTGGATCTAATTACCTACTACTGGAAATTCCAGTAAGCAATGGGCCTCTCCCCAGGGTTTACCTTCTTCCGACTATCTCCTAGGAAACCCGTTTCACATATATTGTGAAACAGTTATTTGAAATTCCTAACATTAGTCACATCCCTAGAAAAATTACAAACAATCTACAATAATACATTGCTTTTTTTTTTTTAATACATTGCAAACCAAAGGTATTAAACTTGACTGAATTAGGCTGATGTTACTTCCATAAGGTTTGTCCAGGATATTATCAGTCCCGCCTTTTACTTGTAAACTGAGCAAATTTGAGCTTCTGCCAGTGAAAGACAAACCTGGAACCTTTTGCAGTAACTTTTCAGAATAGAACCACACTTTAACTTACAACTGGGATTCTATAGGAGCTCCACCATTGGAGTCTACCTTGGTGATGTGCTGAATTAGCCCATATTCCAGGTGCCCTGTCCATGACTTTCTCTAACTAGCATCACTTTTTGGACAGTGGTGACCATTTCCAGATCCTCAGGTTGATCACGGTGTTGTGGCAGCTTGCATCACTGGTATCCTTCTCCTCTGCTTCAGGTGGACTTCTTGCCATTGGGGGCCTATACAGAGACTCCCGCTGGCAGAACCTGGAAGCAAATGTATCCATCAGTCTCTACCTCCTATGGTACTTCTCTTTGTTAACTGTGCTTACTGAAATAAAGTATGGTAGTAAAATGCACATTGTTTTCAGGAGCGAAACAATGCACTGCAGAATATGCATAAGAAAATACAAGATCTGGAACTGGAACATAATAACTGCACTGACATTCTCCGGCGACAGGCCAGTGAACTTGAATACAGTACTGAACGAGAGGAGAGACTTAAAAAAGATCTTGAGGTAAGTACTTTTTATCTGTTCAGATTCAGTGGTGTTTTGTGTGTGTGTTCTCCATTTCATGAGATTACAGTAATCCTGGAATTCTATACAGGGGCAATTTCTCGAGTTAATGTTATGTCATTTTGAATAATTTGTGAATTGTTCATGCTTGACTTTCATTTAAGATGGAACATGACCTACCTGTTTTGTAACTTATTGAAAAGCTGAGTAAACCAACGCAACTAACTTGTTGCGTAGTCAGAGTCTTATCTGCTGTGGAGCTGGAACCCTGGATGGAAAAGGGCTCAAAGAGGTGTAAGGAATGAGCTTGGTGCACCAAATAATAAAAAATAATTTTTGGTGGTATTTAGTTATTTTAAGAAAAGCGTGCAAATGTTGTTCACCCACTGATGGCTCTAACTCGCACAATATCTTGCTGACCCTTATCGCCATTATAATTACAGAAATAGTGGGCTGTTGAACTATTTCTATAACGTATTGAGGGAGAGGTGGTAAGAGTTTCCAGGGGCTGTGACAGACCACTGGTTAAGGAACTCAGTAAGGGGAAGCAAAGTGCCAACTGTGCCAGATGGCTCCATGGAGGTGAAGGCTTCAGGCTTGGAGCCTTTTGCTGGCTTGGATGTTAGAGGAGCAGCATCAGTGGTTCTGTAGGACTCTGACTTGGACAAAGGCAATGGTAATGAGGAGTACTTGTGGCACCTTAGAGACTAACAAATTTATTTGAGCATAAGCTTTCATGGGCTAAAACCCACTTCATCGGATGCATGCAGTGGAAAATACAGTAGGAAGATATATATACACACAGAGAACATGAAAAAATGAGTGTTGCCATATACACTATAATGAGAGGCAATAGTGTATTTCTTCCACTTCCTCTTTCCCCTTCAAGCTAACAAGTGCCCCAATCCTGTTTCTTCTTCTCCAAGCAATTAACTAAAGGGTCTACAAGCCCATCCGCCTCTTCCTATGTACAAACTAATAAAAATAGCACCCCTCCTCCAGCTTTATCCGATATTAGTGTTCCAGCATCAGGCTAAAACACTTGCTTTATTATGCCTGCCCAAATTCTTGCCCTCTTATATGGAGTGGAGTCGTCTTATCCACCATTAGCAAAAAGAAAGGGATCCTGCTTTGTAGCCAGAAGTGAAGCAGGGACCTGTGAAGAAAGAAATCAGAGATAAATTTAGATTACAACTTGGAAGATCAACGTAGGCTATTATATGTAATACAATAAAAGTATAGGAGGAACTGGGTAGTGATACTGATATTTTGGTTTTTTCCATTATAAAAGTTTCTTGTGACCTTTTCTAGAGACACTGTAACGCCGTCATTGTTTGCAGCAAGCATTTGAAATTCATAAAGAAGTGCCTTTCTTTGTCCCATGAAATTCCATTTCAGTTCAGCTGAGATAAAAGCTTTTGCAAATTGCTACCTCCCTTCTGTCACCAGTGTTAGCAAAATTTTGGCAGCATACCAAAAATGTTCATATTCTGTTGCTATTCTAATTAGGGCTGTCAAACAATTAAAAAATTAATAGCAATTAATAATGAGATAAAGTTATTAATTGCACTGTTAAACAATAATATAATGCCATTTATTTAAATATATTTGGGTGTTTTCTACATTTTCAAATTGATTTCAATTAAACACAGAATACAAAGAGTACAGTGCTCCTTTATATTATTTTGTATTACAAATAGCTGCACTGTAAAAAAAAAAAAAAAAAAAAAAAAAAGTAAACAAAAGAAATACTATTTTTCAATTCACCTCATACAAGTACTGTAGTGCAATCTTTTTATCGTGAAAGTGCATTTTACAACTGTAGAATTTTTTTGTTACATAACTGCACTCAAAAACAAAACAATGTAGAACTTTAGCGCCTACCAGTCTACTCAGTCCTACTTCTTGTTCAGCCAATCGCTAAGATGAACACGATTGTTTACTTTTTTGGGAGATACTGCTGCCTGCTTATTTACAATGTCACCTGAAAGTGAAAACAGGAGTTCACATGGCACTTTTGTCGCCAGCATTGCAAGGTATTTACGTGCCAGATATGCTAAACATTCGTACGTCCTTTCATGCTTCGGCCACTATTCCAGAGGACATGCTTTCATGCTGATGATGCTTGTTAAAATAATGCATTAATTAAATTTGTAACTGAACTCCTTGGAGGAGAATTGTATATCTCCTGCTCCGTGGTTTTATTTGCATTCTGCCATATATTGTGTGCTATGGCAATCTTGGATGATTACCCAGTATATGTTCTTTGATTTAAGAACACTTTCATTGCAGAGCTGACAAAATGCAAAGGAAGTACCAGTATGAGATTTCTAAAGATAGCTACAGCACTCAATCCAAGGTTTAAGAATCTGAAGTGCCTTCTAAAATCTGAGATGGACGTGGTGTGGAACATGCTGTCAGAGGTCTTAAGAGCAACACTCCAATTCGGAAAGTAAAGGACCCGAACCACCAAAAAAAAAATCAGCCTTCTGTTGGTGGCATCTGAATGATATGATGAAAATAAACGTGTGTGAATCCACACTGTTTTGGATTGTTATCGAGCAGAACATGTCATCAGCATGGAAGCTGTTCTCACTTTCCAGTGACACTGTATATAAGAAGCGGGCAGCATTATCTCCTGTAACTGTAAACAGATTTGTGTCTCTTAGGAATTGGCTGAACAAGAAGTAGGACTGAGTGGACTTGTAGGCTCTAAAGTTTTATGTTGTTTGTTTGTTTTTTGAGTGCATTTATGTAACACAAAATATCTACATTTGTAAATTGCATTTTCACGATAGAGATTGCACTACAGTATTTGTATGAGGTGAATTGAAAAATTCTATTTCCTTTTTACAGTGCAAATATTTGTAATAGAAGATAATATAAAGGAGCATTGTACATGTTGTATTCTGTGTTATAATTGTAATCAATATAATTGAAAATGCAGGAAAAACATCCAAAAATATTTATAATAAATTTAAATTAGTATTTTATTATTGTTTAACAGTGGGATTAAAATTGCAATTTTTAAATCAAGTTAACTCAAGCAATTAAAAACAAAAAAATTAACTGTGATTTAATTGAAATTCTAATTCTAATCTAAGGCTGGGCCAAGGCCACTGTCAGAGCAGCATCAGCATCCCTCACTGCAGTGAGAATGTCCTCCCACTTTTTGCCAGCCATCAGGGCAAATGAGGGGGTGGGGGAGAGTGGGTGGAGAAGAGCAAGTGCGGGGGCAGGGGTTCAGGGGAAGGGACAGTGCGAGGATGAAGCCTCAGGAAAGGGATGACGCAGGTGGCTGGGACCATGGTTCTGGTGCCAGTGCCCCCTCCACCACCCCACTTGTAGGAAGCTTCCACCGCTCCTGCATCAAAACCCATGCCTAACCCTGCAGACACTTAAATTCCCGCCTCTCGGTTTGTACATTACCATGTAAGTTCTGATGTCTAGATGCCCAGCTCTCACCTAAGCCCTAGAGGGATCCTAAAACTAGGTGTTAGTCTGTCTATATTGCCTGTTAATTTAGGCATCTCCCCAGCTCGCCTTGCTGGCTTCTGTGAATCCCATTCTTAGGATACTAACTCTCCCAGGCCAATTGCATTTTGGGATGTATAAGTAGGGGCATTGCCAGCAGTTCGAGGGACGTGATCATTCCCCTCTATTCGACTTTGGTGAGGCCTCATCTGGAGTACTGTGTCCAGTTTTGGGCCCCACACTTCAAGAAGGATGTGGATAAATTGGAGAGAGTCCAGCGAAGGGCAACAAAAATGATTAGGGGTCTGGAACACATGAGTTATTAGGAGAGGCTGAGGGAGCTGGGATTGTTTAGCCTGCAGAAGAGAAGAATGAGGGGGGATTTGATAGCTGCTTTCAACTACCTGAAAGGGGGTTCCAAAGAGGATGGCTCTAGACTGTTCTCAATGGTAGCAGATGACAGAACGAGGAGTAATGGTCTCAAGTTGCAGTGGGGGAGGTTTAGATTGGATATTAGAAAAACTTTTTCACTAAGAGGGTGGTGAAACACTGGAATGCGTTACCTAGGGAGGTGGTAGAATCTCCTTCCTTAGAAGTTTTTAAGGTCAGGCTTGACAAAGCCCTGGCTGGGATGATTTAACTGGGAATTGGTCCTGCTTTGAGCAGGGGGTTGGACTAGATGACCTTCAGGGGTCCCTTCCAACCCTGATATTCTATGATCCCCATGCACTGTATAGGGAACCTGGGTGCCAAACTCCGGGCCGTGGATTCCTCTAGGCAGCAGGGTGCCTGGACGTTAGGTGTCGGAATGCTGAGTTGAAGTTCTCATTTTGGATCTACCCCTAAGAGCTTGTCTGCAGACAGTTTCTGTACTGCTTTAACTATGTCAGTTTGGAAACCTTAAATGTATGAGAATAAGCTATACCAGTATAGAGCACCTTTATACTGGTAAAACTGCATTCACACTGGGAGCTGTACTAGTTTAAGTATTTTGGCTTAAAAAAAATCACTCATATAACCAAAATAGTTACATTGGTTCACAAACTGTGGATCTTAGGTCTGCTGTCTACCCACATAAGCATATCACTGTACCCTTGTGGAGCCCCCAGTGACTTCAGTGCTCCAAGCAGAGATATCTGCTGGTGCATATCTCATGGCTGGATTGAAACCTAAGTTACAAATGGAAGCAATAGAGCTCAGAAAGAGGGGAAATCATTCTTGGTTTCCACATATTACTTTAACTAGTCTGTTGCTTCTTCATCTGTATTCAGTGATTCTTCATTTCATAAAAGTTACTGTGATTTTTTTTTTCTTCCAGAAAGTGAATTATGGTATCTCTGAATGAATTAAACAAGAGGGACTAGTTTGTTCATAAATGCAAGAGCAATTATTTACTTACAGATCTTTGTAATTTGCAGTGATGTTGAAGGAAATGAAAGAAATAAAGAGAAATATCTCATTTTAATGAGCATTTGGCAAGTTGTATATTTGAGGGGAAAAGGCCTGATTATGGCAGTAGCTTTTTA